CTCCTCTCCTTTCTCCTCGTCCCTCCCTGTCTCTTCCACTCTTCTTCCGATTACACAGCTTTTCAACACCCCCCCCCACCCTCAATTTTCCCACACGATAAGTAATGTTTTCTTAGCAAATAAGGTAGATGACTCTCCAAATTTGTCGCACAAATCTGCTAAGATTACGTCCCTTGATGAGAGTAAATTCTCAGTTCGCAAAAGCACGAAGTAATTTTTATCCCCACTATCATCATCATTGTTGTAATGATCGTCTTTGTGTCGTGCTATCTCATGTTACTCCAACACACCCTTGGTGGGCCCAGCAACACTGAACTCATCAGGAACCCGTGAAGTCCTTGTGTCCTGCACCCAGAGAATTCTTCACACTTAAGTCCATGATTGACTGGCGTAAGCACCGTTGTATTACGTGCACACGTTTATTTATTTCTCAACATGTACCAGTCTATGAAGGCAGGTATCGCTGTCTGGGTATTGCTGAATCACTTGTTTTGTTCACCAATCAGTCCCTGGTCAATCATTCGGCTACAAAAACAATATAGCATTCACTTACATTTCAATGACTGTCCTTTCATCCAGTTTGGCTCCAGTCGCTTGCAAACTTCTCTCTCGTGCACTGAGAGTCAAACTCAACAGGTGAAAGATGGGCGACATTGAACCACAGGATGCGATGTCAATCTTTATTGTTCATTCACTCGCTGATTCTTTTGACAGTACACGGTGAGGTACAAGTCTGCGTTTATAATACACCGATTAAAGCAACTTTACCTTCAGCGAATACTGTACAAAGATGGTCATTTCACAACTGCAGCGAAATTGACAATTCCCCTGACACATACACTCAAACATGTTGAATGCTGACAGCGTCAGTTCTTAGCTGATGGCCAGGTTGGGCGTTGGAAATTCATAGACATATTAGATACATACTTTCTTGATAGAAATTCTTTCTCCGCTCCACATGCGCACGATTCCTAAGCGAGACTGCCCACTCACTCTTTCTAGGGCATTATATAATCTTCTCTCGCCCACATTAAAATTGCGCCCACATCCGAAATTATCGTGTTTTTGTGTTTTTTTTCGCACGGGTTTCATGTTCTTCCTTTGGTCAACATTTTCCCCGTGCATCCCGGCTTCGTACTCGTTAGATTAGATTATCTCATTCAGATTTATCACCTGACGCCATTCCTGACGCCATTCCTATTGTAACATAATTTATCAGGGAGAAAATGGTTCACTATGGTTAAACATGGTCGCATGTCAGCGTAATGGCTGGTCCACTTCGACTGGCCAGCTTTTCGCCAACAGCAAAGTTCATTGATTTATATCGACGTTCAGTTGATCTAAAACACGATTATTCTGGTCCATTGAAGTCTTTCACCAAGCTACTTTCTACAGACAATGTCTACCTAACTCGTCGAGGAAACCGCTTACCCACTCACAAAATCTCCTGTTAGCTGTCGACCTGCTTTCAACCTCTACTCGACAATTAATGTCTCGTCTGGTCAAATATTTTAACCCATGCAATGGCTTTTCCAGTGACGTCACCTTATTTCTGTCGGGATTCCTTAACTGGCATCATTGCAACCGTCAACATCACATGCCAACACCCCAACCCCTACACGCACACGCAGGCACTCGTGCACAAGAATAACAAGTCTAAAGCAGATGTGACCACACACAACAAATGGTGTCCTACAGCATAAACAAGGAAACTGAGAGAGAAGACAAAGGCAGACAACTCAGTTCTATTTACCATGTCGGTCACATTTACAGACTGGTAGACCTCTAATTTATGCTTGCTCAGGCCAGTTTACGTTACCGGGTTGTCGCGTCTTCTCTACTATAAGCGGTGATGACGCATGTACTAAACTACTCGACCACACGCTTCCAAAGACCCCAAAACATCTAGAACTAGCCCTAACAGTCCCTCCCCCCCCGACCCACAGCCTCAGCTTAGTCCCACGAAGGAGTGCAGAATACGTCTTATTGTTTAGGAATTGGGTTATAGTAACGAAGTCAGGCCCAGCTACACATTAGGTGACCTTTGATTGATGCTCCATCAGGCTTGTCTACGATAGAATTGATGTCCCGGTGTACTGGTGTCTTTGCAAAGCTTTCTGCGTTGCGTGTTAATCGTTGTTATGTGAGCACTGGCCGCCGACATTGTGTTTTCACTAGTAAGCAGAATTAATGTTTGTTGGTGGGTATAAGACAGCCGTCTCGGATTTTAAGTTGGAAATGGAATTATTTTAGCTGTCACCGTTGGCTAGAGTACTGTTACGTCTGTGTAGGAACGCAGCGTTTGAGGGAAAAAAAAAGTGGTTGGGTGGGGGGGGGGGGGATGTTTAGAAGTCTGAAAGCACGGGGCGCAGAATGCACTCTCATGTTACCTGCGCTGAGTCCGTGGAGTAGAGGGCGGTTGGGGTTAGGGCCAGATATACATGTTATGGGTTCGTTAAAACCGCTTACTTCCTGTATTATATATCGCGCGTGGTCGCCAGTAAGACAGTAGAAAGAATACAACTTCGCAACAACCTGACACCCCTGGCACCAATCTGACATCGCTGGCACCAGCCTGACCCATTGCCACAAAGACTAACACGTCTCAAAGGTTAAGACATATAAATGAATGCCCAATCACGTCTCGCCGGGCCCGACTTAAAATTGTCGAATCTAGTAGCGAAGTCGGGCCTAGCTACACACTAGCTGACCTTCCATTCATGCATGCTTAGGCTGGTCTACGTTAGAGGGGTGTCCACGTGGGGGAAAAAAAAATCCCTGCTTCACCAAGACTTAAACCCAGGACCTCCAGCACTCGAGGTGGACGCCATGTCTAGATATCATGTAGCCTCCATTCAACATGATGAACCTATGGCTTAGCTCTTGCAAATAAGCTGGAGTCAACATTTTCAAACAATGCATCGTTACCATGGCAACTTATGAATGTGGGTCATGAACTCTCACCCGGTCACTGAAGAAGAAGATCGGAGCTTTTGAACTGAAATGCTACAGAAAGGCTCTTAAAGTACCATGGACCAAGAGGAATACGAACGTCGACTTCCTGCATGATTCGAACATCAAGTGGAACTGTCTCATAAACAGCACCCTGTCCCGAAAGCTGGGGTATTTTTGTCAATCCACGGCACGCGCAACTGTGACCGCGAGAGACCAATGTTGGAGAGTGCAGTTTCCGGACAACGAAACAGAAGCCGACTTCCGCCAATGTGGACACGCGACCCTCAAGATGCAGTAGCGATATAATAAAAGCACACCGGACTGAAGAACTGGCTTGAGAAAGAGTGACTTTTAGGCGTGTTGTGAGGAGAGCGACGTTCTGTAACGGACCTATTGACCGACTGATTTTGCACAAACATGATCGTTCGAATGACTGCAGATTTGGTCTGACCATTAACACGGCCCACCATAAACACGGCCCACATAAACACGGCCCACCATAAACACGGCCCACCATAAACACCGCCCACCATAAACACGGCCCACCATTAACACACAAATAATGATATCGTGACGACGGCGGGGACATCGACCAGAGGCCACCTCTACAACGTCAGATCCACCTGTGACAGTTTATGGCGCCATTTGCTGTCACTTTTCAGTCGTCACCTGCTAGCTAACTAAATCTAGCTGTTTTCCAACCATTGCTTGTGCGTACTCCATCGACTGACATTTCTTTGAAAAAAACTATTCACAAACAACTGCTGGTCTTTCACAAACTGTCTTCGTTAAGTAAGTTGACAATTGCGTTTCCTCTTTGGTTGCGATAAATATTTATGTACCTGGATATCCCACTATTGAAGCCAATCATCATCATTATCAGCTACTGTGGGCTTTTTATACCACACAAAGCTTGTAACCGATTCCTTTATTCGGCTCGATCCGGAACAATGTTTTCGATTTTATGGATGGCTCTTTTGCTCTTGTCTCATCAACACTTGTCTTAGGATCTCATGAATGTCCAAGTTACCTGACCTTTTATTTCCAAAACCAGTTGGTGTTGACCGTTCTTCTTTCGGGTGCGCCCGGTTTCTTGCTATCTTCTCTGTCTGTAACTCTGGAGCTCTAGGTATAAGATCTTTGTGAGGGTAATACACCACTACAGTTAGGGTTTGCGTTGGCAATCAAGACTTGGCAGACAACATGCCCAAGGGTATTTGCCCTCTTCCCGCTTGGTCCCAGAGACATTGACTGACTCCAGGCTGTGTGTTTTGGGTCACGTGACCTCGGTTATGTTATCCTACCATCAACGTTGCTGTGACAGCGTTTTTTTACATTTTATTTTACACTATCAGACTTTTAATCTCAACAAAACATCTCATTACATACCTTTTGACTTATGTTGTGTCATATTTTACATCTCAACACAACATTTCATTACATACCTTTTGACTTGTGTTGTATCATACCTTTCATCTCATCACAATATCTCATTACATACCTTTCATCTCAACACAACATCTCATTACATACCTTTTGATTTGTGTTGTGTTATACCTTTAATCTCAACATAACAACATTTCATTACACACCTTTTGACTTGTTTTGTATCATACTTTTTATCTCATCACAATATCTTATTACATACCTTTCATCTGAACACATCTCATTACATACTTTTTGACTTGTGTTATGTCATACCTTTAATCTCAACATAACATGTCATTACATACTTTTTGACTTGTGTTATGTCATACCTTTAATCTCAACATAACATCTCATTACATACCTTTTGACTTGTGTTGTGTCACACCTTTCATCTCAACACAACATGTCACTATATAACTTTTCATCTTAGTACAACCACGCATTACATACCTTTGATCTAATGCTGTATTGTCACTACATACTTTTTTGTTGTTTGTTTTATCATTCTTTTCTTTTCAACAAATCTGACAGGTTTGTCACAGTACCTCCCGCAGGAATACATTACTCCAGTGCTGTCAGAGTACCTACCTGCCAGAGTAGCGGGTTGACAAGCCAGGATGGTTGTGGATGTCCTGCCAACCTGGGAGAGGTACACCTACTGGACAATGGTTGTCTCAGCCTTGATCTACTCCACATATTCTTTGTTTGTGGAGGGAAACCGTGAGTCTTGGCGCTAGTCGAATTCTTTCACAGTTCAAATGCTTTTGTGCTTGTCTTGTTGCGTTCTAATTTGTTTACTTCCATGAGCCGTGACGGAACCATTGCGTCTCAGTCAACTCGAATCTAAACTCCTTTCAACTTCATTCTGGGGAATGAGGGGGTCAGAACTGTTGAATAGTTGTAGGTTTGCTACACTTCACGTGGGAGCATGGTCTGAAAACTCATGCTGGAAGGATAAAATGCCAGGTCGCGCCACGTAGTTGTTAGGGAGTCCTCAGGGAGCGACAGGCGAGAAAGCTCCCGTGGCCGCTGCCCGTGTAAGAAGTGAGCATGACTGCAGTGGAAACGATAGAGAACATAATTAGTACAGCCATGAGAAAATAGCTTGGGGCACCACCTTGTCTGACCGACATGGCTCTGTATTGTAAGCAGGCTAAGCTGGTACTTCTGTTCAAATCAATAACCGAAGAGTTTAAAGTCGGCAAAGTAAGTCTCGCAATGATGCTGCGCCAGATCCCACAGTGGCAGCTGTCCAGCCCGCTCTAGGACGTAAGAATTGGAAAGTCCTAGATGCGATGGAGTCTGTCCGAGAAGCACTGACATTGAAGGAAGTGATGGGTTACACACAAACCGACCGACGGACACGGCCTAGGGCACGGGAAAGTCAATTGGTGACCCAAAGCCACGACCAAAGAGCGCCGTGACATGGTAATACAGCAGATAGTTGACCCTGAAAACGAAACACAGTTCCAAAAAGCCGCGCAGCAGTCGCAGCAAGGCCAGTGGATCGTTCTCGAGAGCGGCCTGCCACGAATACTCACATGGGAAGAGAATTGGCGAATGGACCCGCTGCGGCTGAGCTTTGTCGTCAGATCTGCATACTCGTAGTTTGGATACTTTAATTTCGTTCGGGGTAGGGTTGGGTAGGGTGCAATGACGTTTGATGAAACCTATGGGGTACCCATTCAGTAGTAAAGTTGAATTGAGAGTTTTAATTTCTGCAGCCAGTGTGTCTTCGGTGCAAATCTTTCTGGCCTGGTTAAAGAAGCTTCTAACGAAGCAACGTTTGTACTTAAACTGTATAAGTTTAGATACTGGCCGGTCCATGTTTCTTTTCGGTCCACTGATCTTTGGATACTGCCATCCTCTCTCCGTGCAATAAGGACATAGTAAAGTGCCGTCATGTTCTTGTTGTAACGATAATGTATCCAAACTACGAGTATTTTTCCAAATGACTTATCGAGGCGATGACGTCATGCAGCGTCGGCAGGACCGACTGAAAACAGCAGTTGGCCAAACATTCTTGATGGCTGTTCCAGTAGTGAGGTACAAGACCACTCCTATCCCAACCCCCGCCTATTAAACAGCTCGTTTCTTTGTACACCAAATCTAATTGTATTTACCAATTTACATGCAAGTGCCAGTTGACTTACATCGGTCGAATGGAGAGACAGCTTGGAAATAGAGTGGCAGAGCACATACCCAAATGGCTACATACACAGTTCAGTGATTCTTCTAGGGTGTCGAGACCAGTCAAGAGGAAAGAACCCGCTTCCTCCATACGACGTCATCTACTTAATTCCGGAGACATAATTGACACAGGCATTGCTTTCCGTGTGGTTTACCACACTCCGAACAGGAGACTGTTGAGAATCACCGAAGCTTTAACAATTAAAATCAACAACTCCCTCCTTTGTAAGCAGACGGAATTGATTGTAAATTTAAAGTTACCCTGGTAAGTCACGTGACTACGGTGAGCTTGCGTCGGCCTAAAACACACACGATGTGTCGGAAGAAACTATTCGCATTTCTGTTGGATTTATTCAGTTTTGTGCTTGTTTTATGTTGATGTAACTCTGTAGTAACGCACCTGACGAGGTACAGCGAAATATGCCTGGCAATAAATTGTGCAATGTATTGTTTGTGTTCGCATTATTTAGATACTTGACTGTGTGAGGGACTGGTTACTGGCCACGAAAAGTACCCAGAGTCAATCCGGAAGACCGACCTGGGACCCGACACAGTCCTACACTATACGGAAAAACGCCAGCTCGTCCTGATAGAGCAAACCGTGCCGTACAAGTCACGGATAGAGGAAAATCACCTGTACAAGCTCAAGAAGTACGGGGATCTAGTAGCCGGTCTAAGGAGAGACGAAGCGTACGCAGTAAAGAGCTTTGCCGTCGAAATAGGCGCAAGAGGTCTTATCTCCATTTCCACACACAATGTGCTAAAGCAGCTGGGCTTGAGAGACAACATGCGCGAAGGGTCACTAAAACAAATGGGTGAAGCTGCTGAAAGAGCTTCGAGTTGGCTTCCGACGCAGCGGAACGTCGTGGGGATGGGTCTTGTGACTAAAGTCTGAGTCCGAAGAAGCTCAGCACAATGCACTGGCTC